GTAATATGTATTGTAATATATATATATAGGTGATGTGCATTTATGTTACAGGATTTATATTGAAACTACGTGCATAGATAAACATACCTATGAGTCCTAAGTAGCTGCTATGCTTAGGCTATCGGTAGCGTGAGTAACCTACTGTTACTCACAATAGGTGATTATTATTATTACTCTCATGATAAAATAGTGAAAGGAAATGGAGACCGGATACAGATATGGTACGGGTATTGGTGGGTGTAATAGGTTGTGTCCCGTGGCCAATGGGGTATAGCTTGGTTATACTATTTTCCCTAGCCATGTCGGTTAAGGACCATCCATTGCTATGGATTCTAGTCAGGTCATAGACTTATTATCCTGAGCACATACTTGCTTATGGGAGCGAAAAGGCTCGTTTCTCTCTTATTGTGGGTTTCAACTCTTTCTAGACCGACTGATTGGAGGCAGGGATGGTGGAGGTCTAAGCACCACACTGAGTTCAGGACTCAGGAGTGGGGGCTTAGAGTCCAAGTTTGGACGGAGACCTGGACCCCTTGATAGGAAAGTGGTGGGTTGGTCTTGCTTGTGCCTAGGGTACAAGCGGGGCATGTGTTTCGGGATACCTAGCTGGGATACATTGGTTCATGAATCACCGTGTGATATGGTACGACTTGTCTATGATCTAACACCGTATTAAGAACTGAAAGATAAAAGGGGATGAATGGATCTGATTGCTCAACTTTTGCTTGAAAGTAGAACAGGTGCTTACATAGAATGGTTAGCTAATGAACTAATTATGACTGCTAATAAAATATATACATAAGGATTCACTACTGAAAGGTTCTAATATGGCTAGTGGGGGGTGAATAGCCTATTTAAAAATCTACAAACCAACTAGAGCAATTTGATTAGTATGACAAATAGCGAAATGCAAACTTGCTCTAGCTCTAAAGGGTTGCAAGCCATCTATCCAACAATTCTAGTTACTATGATCACTAGACACACAATTTGCTAAGTCACTACTCACTAAGAGCTCCCACACTTGCTACACTAAAGAGCTCCACTAGATGAACTTAAACTACAAAGCAAGCTCTCAAATCTAGCTACACTAAAGAGCTTGCTACAACTAGTTTGTGGGAATGTAAATGAGTGAGGTGATTATACCGCCACGTGTAGAGGAGTGAACCAATCACAAGATGAATACTAACTCAATCATTGAGAGAATACCAAAGGGCAAGAGACAACAAATTTTCTCCCAAGGTTCACGTGCTTGCCAACACGCTACGTCCCCATTGTGTCGACCAACACTTGGTGGTTTGGTGGCTAAGAGGTGTTGCACGAACCTCGTCCACACAATTGGACACCGCAAGAATCTACCCACAAGTGAGGTAACTCAATGACATGAGCAATCCACTAGGGTTAACTTTTGGCGCTCCGCTGGGAAAGACATAAGTCCCCTCACAATCACCGGAGATGGCCACGAATAATCACCAACTCATGCCAATCCTTCTTCGCTGCACCAAACCGTCTAGGTGGTGGCAACCACCAAGAGCAACAAGCGAATCCCACAGCGAAACATGAACACCAAGTGCCTCTAGATGGAATCACTCAAGCAATACACTTGGATTCTCTCCCAATCTCACAAAGATGATAAATCAATGATGGAGATGAGTGGGAGGGCTTTGGCTAAACTCACAAGTTTGCTATGTCAATGCAAATGGCCAAGAGAGTGAGCTTGAGCCGGCCATGGGGCTTAAATAGAAGCCTCCATGAAATAGAGCCGTTGGCTCTCTATTCTCTAAAAAGTTGGGGCGATCGGACGCGCTAGTCAGATCGATCGGATGTAGGACCCCAGCGTCCGGTCGCACGATGCATGCCATGTGTCCCCTGCTTCAAACGCTGATCGCCCAATTTCAACGGTCATTAGTACATTTAAGTTGTGACTAGACATCGCTGCTCAAAGTGACCGGACGCAGGACCCTCAGCGTCCGGTCGTTTCCAGAAAGGTTCCACTCACTATCGGACGCGTCCGGTCATGCCCGACCGGACTCACCCAGCGTCCGGTCACTCACCGTCTCCTCTGTGCACCGCCATATCAGCACGACCGGACGCTGAACAGTGTTCAGCTAGAGTCTGGTCGCCTGTGTCTGGTCAAGAGACCGAGGGCGGCCTTCACTGCACCACTGACCGGACGTAGGACCCCAGTGTCCGGTCACCATGTGACCAGCGTCCAGTGCTAACACTCCATCGATGAAGTTTCGAACCTTGCTCCCAAGTGCTAAACACAATGTGTATCACCTTTGTGCATGTGTGTTAGCATATTTTCATAAATGTTTTCAAGGGTGTTAGCACTCCACTAGATCCTAAATGCATATGTAATGAGTTAGAGCATCTAGTGGCACTTTGATAACCGCATTTTGATACGAGTTTCACCCCTCTTAATAGTATGGCTATCGATCCTAAATGTGATCACACTCTCTAAGTGTCTCGATCACTAAACCAAAAAGCTCTTATCAATTTCACCTTTTCCTTAAGCCTTTTGGTTTTCTTTCTCCTTTTGCAAGTCCAAGTATTTGATCATCACCATGCTATCACCATCATCATGTCATGATCTTCACATGCTAAATCACTTGGGGTAGTGCTACCTATCTCATAATTACTTTGATAAACTAGGTTAGCACTTAGGGTTTCATCAATTCATCAAAACCAAACTAGAGCTTTCAACTACTAGTAATGCTTTTCGCAAAAAGGAAACCCAGCAAATCATAAAGCTTATCATATCCTTTGGAGTCAGGAAGTTATTTCCACTAGTCGGGTAAGTCTTGCGAGTACATTGTGTACTCAGGGTTTATTTACCCTTGTTGCAGGTGCAGTTTGAGGAATGTCTGTTGTGTAGAGGATTCTTCTGGTGGGCACAGATGGATCCTTGTGTCTTATCGTTAGATGTTTATTTCAATTCCCCTGTTTAAATTCCGCAATCTAAATTTGGTATTGTAATAATGTATTTCCGAGAACTCTTGTTGTATGAAATGGACTAGGTATTGTAAACTCATTCTCATTATTGGATCCCGGATGAAAAACGTGGATCGTTCGAGTTCTCCCTTGGGGTGTGCTCGATGAAACCGTCCGATGTAGCTTACTTTCGGGGTGCTTAGCATCTAGTGGAAGACGAGCGCCTCTAGAAGCGTGCTATTTCAGGCAGTTCTACAACAATCCATGTCCATGGTGAGGACTAGGAGTAGCCGACTAGGAGGTTTCTTCTCTGTTTGGCTCGATGGGCCATATTTTTCTGCTATGATTAGGTTTATTAGGTCATGTCCATGTAGCAATGGTGGCTGCGCTTACAGTTTCCTTTTTTTATCTTTTTGTTGTTCAGTTATTCAGTTGGCAATTGTATCAGTTTTAGTCATGTTGAGGCTATACGTTCAGGTTCAGCCATATTTAATTTCATTTTTTAGGTGGCAACAGGTATCTTTGAGAACATGGTTGTTTTTTATTATGTCATGGAGGTCCTTGGGTTGAATATTGGTGAGCAGTCTCGTCTGATAGCAGTTTGATTGAGTAGTCCCACCTTTGATCCTGTGTCCATCGTTGCTTGTGCTTTGAAATATATTGAGCGCAAGCCGATAACGATGCGAATGATGGTGAATGACAGCAAATTCTGCGTTGATGATCATGATGGTATTGTTTTTGTTCTAGCTCATTTGGATCGTCTTCCCTTTCAACTTCGCAAGTGGAGGATATTAGTTGGTGATATTGTTGTTAGTGTATATCCAGTTAAAAGTATTGTGCAAAGGACTGGCTCTTCCAGAGCTTTTATGGATATTCCAATAAGGATCAAGGTACCTTTTTTCTCTTAATTTTCAAAGAGTTTTTTATTTTTGTATATGTTTGATTGTTTTTTTGTTTAATCATTTTTTGTTTATGCTTTTTTTTTAAAAATTCCTAGGTTGTTTCTCAAAACAATTCAATTGCTCCTGAAGTTGCAGTACCATTTACTTTAGAAGTTGAAGTAGTGTTGCTAAAGGGTTGACCAGTGATAATATGTTGAAATTAGTTGCTCGTGTGTTGAAGCAGAATCGTGGTGGTCATTATCGTTCTATGTGTAAGTTTGCCTACTATTCGAATAATGGCACTGTGTATGTCAAGGTGACTGGAGAAGAGGATGCAAATCTGATGGCTGGGAGATAATTTAAGGTTGCAGGCCAAAGGATGTCGTTCTATCGCGTTTTGAGTATCAGTGTTCGTCCAGTAGAAGAAGATTCTTACCAGAGTGCTAGATGCCATCGGATTTTCCCTTTTAACTTTTCTTGAGTAGTATGGCTTCTTCTTTTTGAAGAAATGCTTTGAAGTCTGTGGGTTTATTTGTGGAATTCTCTAGTTATGTTTGTATTAATTAAACAAGTTTTATATCTGTAATTATGTTTGTAATAAATATTAGTTCTATATGTTTTTAATGGTTTTTGCCCATGCCGTCAGTGATTGATATGGAGTCAGTTGAATTATTTTCCTTTTTTTGTTAGTGTATTTAAATTTTTTCTTTTTTGCCGTATTTTTTTACACTAAGCTGTGCTTTTTAATTTCATTGGCAGGTTTCTTTTCAGTTTATTAGTTTGGTGTACATTATATTAAGTTTCAAATAGTTGTAAGTATTCTTCCTTGTTGAATCTTTTTTTTGTTTTCTTACATTTATATTTTCTGCTTGTTCATTTTTTGGATAATTTTTGCCGTTGAAACACCCGTTTGGCAGCAAGCCTAAAATCTTATTGTTATTTGGCTTTGGAATAACCAGTTACCGAAAGACAACAAAACAACCTTTTTTTTTTTTTTGTTGTTGTTTCTTCACTTTGAAACAACCGGTTATTGAATGACAACAAAACAACCGTTCGTTCAGTAGACAAACTCATACAATATGTGCATAAGAACACGCCTTGAACAAAAATATTGGGTCCCAAATGATGGATCCGATGTTCCGATCTGATCCAATCCTATGGCCCGGCGATGGGGAATTGGGCAATCAGCTACCTCCTCTTGGGCAGATCAAAGGCTTTCTTCAAGAATCTGTTCGCTGCCTCATCGTCTCGGTAGCACAGCACGCGGAGGACGGTGTTGGCGTCGGACCGGCTCCAGCGTCTCGTCGTGGGCGTCACCGGCATCATCGGCAGCTGCGGCAACTCGTCAGCCGCCGCTGCCATCGGAGTGGAAGAAGCGTAGTGGCCGAGGAACTCATGGATGAGCTTCTCCGTGGGAACAGCCATGAGCGCCAGCACCCCTTCCGCCCGCGCCGTCTCCCTCTCGACGGTCTCCTCCGCCACCCCGAAGCCGCAGAAGAGGCGTTTCAAGCTCGCGAAGTCCTCCGCCACCGCCGTGTGGTCCGCGCGGGCGAAGGCCCGCCCACTGCCGCCGCCGAGGACGACCGTCAGGAAGGCCTCCACGGAGGCCCTCATCACCTCGAGCACGGCCGGCGGCTGCGCCTGCTCGGTGAGCACGCCGGAGAGGAACGCGAGGTTCTGCTTCATGACGCGGAGCGCGGGCCGGGCGCGCACGGCGGTGACGCCCCCCTGGTACAGCGCCTGGTGGAGGAACTGAGCGGAGTCGAGGAAGACGAGGCGGTACGCGGAGAGCTCGGACACGTGGTGGACGGCGGCGTCGAGGGCGGGGCGGGCGTGGTCGAAGGTCGAGCTCCGCGCGCGGCGGCGCCGCTGCCGATGTGGCGCGAGCGCGGAGGAGAGGGACCTGTCGATGCTCTGCAGGACGGCGAGGAGGTAGTGAAGCGTGTTGAGACGCACGTAGAGCCGCTGCGTGCCGCGGCTGGTGGCGGGGCGCACCGCGTGCGCCGCCGCGTGGTCTCGGTCGTCTCCTCGTCTCGACCGGCTCGACTCCAGCCTGGGCTTCTTGCTGCTCGTGACGATGTCGGCCCTGCCGCAGTCGAGCGCCTCCAGGTCGCCCACCTGGCACGGCGGCGCAGCCATCCTCCAGAGCTGCACGAGCTTCGAGTCCTGGTTGCACCGCGTCAATGGCGGCAGAGGTGGAACGTAGCTCTCCTTGGACGACCCTGCTTGGGTTGTCAGTCGTTGTCACTTGTGAGTGTGCCATGGGCCATGGCTGCATGCGTGCATATGCTGTAACAAACTATCGTGCATGTGCATGCAAGTAGTTACCGCACCGCACGAGCTGGCAAGGAGCAGAGCGTACTGGTGGACGAGGTGATCGACGCCGTCAACCAGGCGCTGCAGCAGCTCCTCTTTGCACGCCGGCGCCACCTGGATCTCCAGCAGCTCATCCATGGTGACCTTGGCCAGCTTCATCAGGTCTACCGCAGACTGCGCGTACGGCTCGGCCTTGGACCTCGGGTTCCAGGTCTCTGCCTCCTGGGCCCTCCTCACGCACTCGTCCCCTACCTTTAACCGCTCATCCATCCAGCCCTTGACCAGGCCGAAGATGATGGAGTCCACGTCGTAGGAGGCCATCGGCGGCGGCAGCTGGTCTGCCGCCGGCGGGTCGTCCTCACCGGCCATCTGTAGCAACCACTTGTCCAGCTTAGAGGCCGTGTGCAGCACGCGCACAGACTCGCTGCTCAGGCCGCACGCCGCCGCCATCGTCGACACGTACCGCTTCAGCAGCGCGCCGAAGCTGCAGTGGAGCGTGGCGGCGGCCACCGCCGTTGGGCACGGGTGCCACCGCCGGAGCACGCGGCTGTACACCTCTTTCTCCACCCTTGCCAGATCCTTGGTCTGCGACGCCACGTACATCAGGGCCTCGCACGGGTCCTCGTCCACCTCCACGATCATGCTGTCCATCTTCCCGGCCGTGCCGGTCTCGTGCAGCTGCCATGCCGCCGCCACATGCTTGTTACATGCATGACACATGGAGGTAGCAGATGGATACGTACATGGGTAGTCTGGAGCAACGTACGTACCCTGGTGAATGCACGCCTTATCGACGACTTGATATACCGCTCCACTTGCTCCCCAGCTGAAAACGATGAAGACGACGACCCAGTACTTGACGAGAGATCGCCACTGGCAGCCGCCACCGCCGCTGCGAAAGACGAGGGCACATCCTGGCTGAGCATCGTTGCCGCCAAGACAGCAAGTGAAACGACATTCTCCATCGCGACCAAGGAGCCTCCTCCTTGGTGGTCACCAAACGCCTCGTGGTAATCCAGCAGCTTGTGTTCCGCCCACGAACGCATGGACGCCAGTGTCGCCGACAAGATCCTGAGGTGCGCCGCCTCCAGCGCGCCGGCCTCGGCTTGCCTCTGGACGTCGCCGCGGACCTGCTCGAGCATCGCCAGGGCCGCGGACAGCAGGTCCGGCTCCATCTCCCCAGTCATCACGTACTTCTCCAAGAACAGCCACGTGAAGCAGACGTTGTGGATGGTGTCGTTGAGCCCGAGGATGTTCCACGTCTTCCTGATGAGCTCCATGAGCTCATCAACCTCGTCCAGCACCACCGTCTCGTCCCTGGCGTCGAACACGGCGCGGAGGAGGGTCAGGTACAGGTGCACGTTGAGCGGGTAGCCGTCGGCCCAGCGGCAGGCGTCGACGGACCGCCAGCACAGCGCCGTCACGGCGGCGGACAGGGCGCGCACGTCGAGGCCGCCGGGCCGCGTGTGCAGCTCCGCGGACCGGACAATCTCGCGGAGACCGGACGCCGAGGCGTTGCCGCTGTCTAGCGGTACGGAGGGGTGGGAGACGAGGCCCGCCTCGAGGACCCTGAGCTGCCGGAGCTGCCACGCGCGGTGCTCGCCGGCGTCGGAGAAGTCGGCGGGTTTGAGGTGGCGGAGGAGCTCCAGGGGGAGCACGAGGGAGTCCACCTTCCTGGACATCTGTGGGCCGACGAGGGAGCGCACGAGGGTCTTCCGGACTCGGCTGTCGGTGTGCTCGCTGACCCCCATCTGCCGCCGCATGATCTCCGCCGACGTCAACGGGCGCCCGCCCGCCCCCACCGTGGGCCTCGTGTTCCTCGCGCGCAGGCCGAGCGCGCGCTTCAGGCGGCTCGTGACCGCCATGTTCTTTGCCGCTCCACCGGCGGCGGTAGGAGACGACGACGCCTCCGGTGGTGGTGCTCTCGTTGGGGTCGCCCCCCCTCCTCCCCTGCCGCCTCTGGCGGCGGCGGATGGGCGCGTGCCGCCGGCGGGAGTGGAGCGGCATGCGCAGAAGAAGATCTCGTAGGCGGATTCCCGGAGCTCGTCCTGGGTGAGGGCCACGTCGAGGCGCGCGAAAGGCCACCGGAGCTCGGGAGGGAACGGACTGGGAATGGCGCCAGCAGCCGCCTCTGGCAACGAGGACGCCGAGAGGCGGCGCCGGCGGGCCATGGTGGGTGGGCGCCGATGGATGGATGGATCGGTCGGTGAGGTAGCTAGCTCGCCGTCGTTGGAGGGTAGAGAAGGAAGGCGCCGCGCCGCCGTACGGTATGTACGGCCGGCCGAACGCCAACCCTGCAGCTAGCTAGCCTCTCGCAAGAGGAGGCATGCTAGGCTATATACGTGTGCCAGTGAATGCGTTGCCTAAAAACAGAAAATAGGAAATGCTCGCAATCGAATCAGGATCACTGTAGCTGCGAATTGGCTATACATAGATCGTCATGGCGCTGTCTACCTGGTATATTACGTGTTTTAGAGGCTATACATAAATCAGTTCACAAAAGCTATCCTTTGCCGTGTGATTCGTGTCCCTGTCACATGATTTTTTTTTACTTTGGATCTGCGCCTGCTTTGATCTGCGCCGTCTGTCTCCTGCCACCTCGCCCGTCCATCTCCTACCTCCTTGCTTCTCTCTGACTTTTGGGTCCCACATGTCACCTCTTTTTTTTTTGGGAAACGCGCCTCTTTTGATCTGTTCATTTTTCCTTTCATCCATTTTATTTCGTCTCTCACGTGTCACCGAGGCGGAGACGGAGCCGGAGGCGGAGGGGCTCTCCGATTTGCCATGGTCGGTGAGTTATCCTTCTATTTTTTGATCAGATATTGTAGATCCCGTTTTTGTAGACCTGATTGTGGTTTGATTTTCGCCGTTTTGGTTCTGTTTTCGTTTTTCTGGTGTGCGTAGGCGGAAGCGAAGGAAGGAAGGAAGGTGTTGCTCACCAGGGCACGCGTGGCCCCGAGGAGCAGAAGCGGCGGCGTGGTGGGATGATCTCACAGTTCTACGTTCTGTCGCAGCGCAGCGAGCACATCGTCTTCTGCGACTGTAAGATCAAGATCCCATCCTGTCCCCTGCCGCTCGATCTAGGTGTTGCGATCCTGAGCTGATTCTGTTGGAAACTTTGTGCGGCCTTTTGTGGGGTGGTGCAAATCACGGCGAGGTGCCCAAGGGCAGCGCACAGATCTTCTTCCGGTAGGTGAAGTTCTGGAACGACGACGAGACAGAGGAGGCGTCCCCAGTCTTCGTATGTATCTGTGACTTACTCCCGCTCACTTATTGAGACTGCTAGTTTTGACCAACATTGGTAGACAACTTAGCAGTAACTGTGATTCTTGCCTCGTGTTAGCTGAATGTTGTACTTGCAAGCTTGTGGTTTAATCACAACTAGCACTTTGATTGTGTGAAATGTGTGCATTTATAAACTGATAACCAGTACCTTAGAAAATAGGATGGACATGTAGCATTACTTGAGTTTTTTATTTGTCAAATTTCCTTTCATGTTAAAAAATTGGGAGTCACCTGTGGTTTCTGTGGCTGTTTCATTTACGCATCATCTTCTTTGCCATGTCATTTTGGGCTAGTGAGAGGCGATTCTATCAGGCTGCAAGGTTCGCTCATTTTGTTTGTTTCGATTCCTTGTATTTTTTGTTGTTAGGGTTCGCTCATGTGCTTTGCCTTGTTGTAGAGAAAATATGACAATGACATCAGCTCTTGCTATTATTCTGAAACATTGGTATATGTTTGTTGTGCTGCAGGTTTCTCTCGGTGCACTTTCCCTTCAGTGCCACCAGGTACACTACATTGCCTACATGGCATTTTTATTATCTATTTGTGTTTTTTTGATCTTGTTTTGTTTTGGCAAATTAACTATTATATGGACTATGAATTAAATTTTTATTTACACTAGAGTTCATCTATACCTACAGTGTTTAATCTAGTGTAAGTGCTAGGTATTATTGGTGTAATTGCTAGGTCAACTATACTAAGTGAAAAAAGTTTATTAGGCACATGTATTTGTCATAATTTGAATTGAGTGTACTTACTTTGATTTGTTTGTTAGATGCAATCCTCATAATTTTTTTGTTTCCGCAATCCATAGAAAAGATCTATTTTTTTGTATTTTTTTTACTTTGATATGTTTGGTTGGTTCACTGCCCTCAAAAAGTTTTTGGTTTTTGCATTCCATAGAATTTTTTTTATATTTACTTTTTTGGTTCGTGCAATGCCCTGAGAATCCTGTATTTGATTTGTTTGTTTGATCAATGCTATATATTAGAGGTAATTGGTTTTTGCAATTCATAGAAATTGTTTGGGTTTTTGTCTTTTGTTTATTTATTTGTTTTCCTTTCTTTGAATATTTGTATATTATTTTCATATTTAGCTATGTTGGATAATCACCCCTCTTTACCTAATTTCTGGAGATCTCCTTGCTCTTTATGTCAATTCTGGCATAGCTTTATCATCTTCAGTTTGAACTGTCATGGTAGCTTATGTTCTCTATCTAATTTATGTACCACCTTGCAATTAGGCATTGACTATCGTGACTCATGTACTCAAAGTTGGTGGAAAATTTGTCGCGAAGATATTTCGAGGTAAAGATACAAGTCTCTTGTACTGCCAGGTAACGTTCACTTTGGTTGGCAAGTAGATCTTTGTATCATCAGATTTCATGAGGTTGTGCTGTTGTACAGTTCTCCATCATTAGTATGAAAGCTTCGTTAGTTGTGGTTGATGAGTATGTTATCCAGATTATTCTTTCCACATTGTGCTCCTTAACTTTTGTAAATGTTTGGACGAGATGCTGATGGGCACTTTATTCCTGTCTATGGCTTTATGCAGCTAAAATTGTTCTTCTCACAAGTTACATTTGCAAAGCCAAAAAGTAGCCGGAACTCAAGCATTGGTAAGTCTTATAGCTTGCAAAAGAAGTTCCATACTCGTGCTCCTTTATATGCTTTCTCAACCTTCAGTGGTTCGCATAACTTAAGTTCAGAATTATGAAATTGTTGTTAGTTGTTGAACATGTTTGGGACATCATTGTCAGGCGGCCTATCCCCTATAGAGTAACAAGGATGCATATTCATTCAGTTGGAAAATGTGTATGTGGTCTTATACATTTGTTTGTCCTTTTTCATTTGTCAAACATAGGCGTTTGCTGTTTGCGAGAACTATTCACCTCCAGAAGGGTTCAAGGAGGGAAGATCTATACCACCTCCTAGATAAAGTGGGGACTCCTTCAGGAGGTGATGATCTAGGTAAGGGCCACAAATGCCTGTACAACACTCCTTCATATTTTTGTTTGTACTTTTAGGTAATGTAGTCTTACTTTTGTATGCGAATTTCTATATTGTTGTTAATACTAATTTTCAGTCATTCTGGTTTAATAGTGTTTTCTCTATTGTTGTTAATACTGATTTTTAGTCATTCTGGTTTAATAGTGTTTGTCTCTGTATATTTTTCAGTTATACTGCTTGATTTAGATTTTGCTTTTTCTGTATTTTTTGTTTGTTGAACATATATTTTCTACATCTAGTACTTGTTAGTACCGTTAGTCCTTGTCTTGTGTCATTCAGGTTTATTTGATTTTCCAGTTTTGATTTTTGTATTATCATGTTAATATGGATTAATTTTTTAGTTACACTAGAGTTCATCTACACTTACAGTTGTTAATGATGTGTAATTCCTAGGTATTATTGATGTAACTAGTATTAGGTGCAAAAAGTTTATTACGCCTTTCTTTGAATGTAACTCTTTTTGTATTATCATTGTTTCTGTTCTTTTGGTATGCCGAGGCCGATCTAGATGCAGAGGAGACAGAGATGGAGTCATTTCCGGTGCTGATTTTTTTTTGTTCGTGAGTATTTCATTCAGTTTTTTATTAGAAGTTGTACATCCGGCTAGTATTTGTTCTGATTCTATTTTTTTTGTTGTCGTTTTCTTCTTCTTCTTTTGATCTTGTGTTCTAGAGATGTTCAAGGCGGAGGCTAAGATGGAGGTTTCATTTGTGTGATTTGTTCCCTCAAATTGCTTGAGTGATCAGAGAGGTTTCATTTGGCATGTGGTAGTTGGTCCTGCGGATTTAGTTGATCATCAGAAATGTTGTAAAAGGTGTTCTAGGTAACTTAGTTTGGTGGCCTAGTTAGTTGATTTTTACAATAATTGATAAAATGAATCCAGTTACAGTGCTATATTATTAGATTTACAGTCATTTTTCATTGTAAGTTATTGTACTAAGTGGTGTAATTTGATGGTAATGCCTTATTGTCTTCTTGTTTTTTTATTCGTCCTTAAATTTTGTTTTTTGTTATGGTATGTTTGTCTGCATCAATGCTATAGTAATTTTTTTTATTTTGCAATTCATAGAAAATTTTTGCTTTTTGAATTTTTTTTAGTTTTGATCTGTTTGGTTCACCAAAGAAAGGTTTTTTGATTTTGCAATGCATAGAAATTTTTTGCTTTTTGATTTTTTAATTTGTATATTTTGATTTGTTTGGTTGTGTTCTTTGGATTTTTTTAGGTGTAGCATGAGGTGGATTCTTTGGTTATATTTGAATCCCAGGTACTTCTAACTATTGGCTTCCTTGTTCTAGTTTACTTAGGTTTTAGTATCTTGTTACAATGGCTTAATTTTGTAGCTACAGTAGAGTTCAATTGCTGTCTGTTTTTAGATGGAATGCATAATTCGTGTGATTTGATCTCCTGTTTCACTCAATTTTTGTTTTTGTTTAGATTTGTGTGATTTGTCCTATTTGGTTTACTCGTGTGATCATAGGCTCTCAATCACACAAATTTTGGTTTTTGTTTCATTTGTGTGATTTGTCCCCTCAAATTGCTTGAGTGATCAGATTGGGTCAAATAAGCTGAGTTACAAATAGACAGATCCCAATCAGTTTTTGGGGCACGGAGAAAACACCTGACCAGCACACAGGAAAAATCATGTGTTTCATGGGGAATTGAGAAACCGATTATGAAGCATTGGATCTGAGGGCCTCTTTGGCATCCCTCTAAGCTGCAGCTTCACGCTCAGCTTCCGCGGAGTCCTACCAAACACTTAAAATGCAACTGGATTCTGGTGGGGAGCTGACGAGAATCACTTCTCCATTTACGCTACGAGATAGGAGCTAAAAAACCCGCTCTCCACCGCTTCCCACCGCTCCCCATTCATTTGTCACAG